GGGGGAGGGGAGTAGATGCGGCGAACAGCTGACCAATATTAGTGACACTATGAGTGGCCGCGCGACGCATATCCCTTTATGATTGAAGATGTTACGTGCCTCCAGAGCATCATGCCTTATTTTTCACGCTTATGCAAATTTCATGTTGCCAAACGTGTAAAATAATCTAGAGGCATTTATTGTGTATTTTTAGAGAAATTCACTATTTAATGTTTAAATTTTTATGCCTCCTCATCGATGGACACCAAGGCCGAGGTTGCGTGAATTCTGACTGTGGAGGTTCTCATGCCTTTTGAAAAGCCGCCCTACGACAGGAAAATTCCCGAGTTTTTGAAAATGTGGAGAAAACCTAATTTAGTTAGTGTCTAGAAGACTGCCTCGGTGTCCACTCAATTTGCCAGTTTTGGTTGTAAGTCACGTGAGCGCATCCGAATTAGTATCATTACCTATTATCGTCATTTCGTACTACGGCTGAAATTTCGACAAAATTTTCCGAAAAAGCACTTTTGTTCATCATTTGCCGATAATCCGGACGCGTGTTATTATCGTTTTTAATTTAATTTGGTGTTAACGCCAAAAATGTTCTAAGATATGCTCTCGTGTACCTGGGTTCGTTGCCTTTTTAAATTGGATCCAAAATGAATCTCTACTGGGATAAACGCGTTTTTTGGAATGAACTGCTGAGTCAGGATGCAACTCGGAAGTTTTCTTATTAAATTTTAGTGCGTTTTGTCATCATTTGTCCTGCTTTTTTGTGTGTGTTTTTTTTTTGCGATTTTTGTTCTCCCACGTCGACGTTAATTCAAATTAGTGAATCTCGCGTGGCCTCATCCGCGTCTTTCGTGAAAAGCGATCAAACCAATTTAATTATCCCGCTACAATTTCGTGAAAAACTTTGCTCATTATGTTTCATTGAATTTATTGTTAACAGTCAAGAATCACGCATTTCTTCCTAACTTTTCTCCTAAACTCGCCGACGTGTTATTGTTAATCTTATCGTAATTTCCTCTATTTCGACCACAAGTTATTCCCTGAATGCATCCCACATTTGCATGGCACATCAATCTTCATTTTCGTTTCATCGTTAATTTTTGCTAAGTCTCACATACTCTTCAGTCTTCATCCATTCAGCACTGACAAGAAACTTCTGCAGAGGAACGTGAACAATGATTAAAAAAGGTATAGGTACCTAAACCGCTAAAGTGTTACTCTCATTTAGGTACTGTTTTCATGGGCAGTCTTTCATGTTCTCTCTGAGCCTTCCCTTCCCTTCTACCCTGCTTCCCGAGCTACTTCTTTAATTGAAATTTAAAATTTTCTTTTCAGAAAATAAGTACAATTATTGGAAACTGCAAATTGAAGCAAGTTATTTTACACCTACCTTGATGACTTTTACTCGTAAAACACCACGACGACTGACTGTGCGAGTACAGGTATCGCTTAGTCTCGACGTTCCAAAATGATGAATTTGGGGGATAATTTTAAACTTTTTGCGTCAGATATGCTATTTATTATGAATTTTGAAGTATCGAAACATCTATCCGTTTCGATTTCCCTTTAAATTGAAGCGATTCTTCACAAACAGCGCGTTCCGCGATATTCTCACTTTGCGTTTCGGAGGGTCGCCCGCGGCAGAGGGCGCGGCCCGGCCGAGGCCCGGGTTCGCTGCGCGGTGGGGTAGGTGATGCCAATTTGGGCACAGTTTTATGGTTTTTTCTTTTGATATTGCTGCTCGGGGATGTTTCCTAACGTTTACATGGCAAAACCATAATAAATTTTACTTTCCGCCGATTTTAAAATGCATGATTTCCACAGAAAGTGAAAAATAGGTAGATTTGCTGAAATTTCAGCGGATTGCTGAAACTTCAATTTTTGTCGTACGCTCATAAAGGAGAACCCTTCCTATCGGAAATTTTACGCTCTTTCTTTCTGAAAATAACTCATTTTGCCTAAAAATGCATATTCCGCGAGATATTTAGACTTTTTGACAAAAAAACGAGATTTGGCAACGTTTTTTCCAAAATGGCCGATGTTCCGGGGTTTTTTTTTTTGTTGGCAAAGTTGAAATTCGGATTCTACGCAAAAAATCACATAAGAAAAGTGTATTCAAATTATGTTTCCGGATTCTTTACCCCTTAGAATCTGAAAGTTTATTGGGGTTTTTGGTAGTTTTTATATCAGAGGTCGTTTTTGGAATGATGCGAAAAAAATTACATGTAAGTAAATGAATATGGAGAAACCGAAAAGGCAGCCGATCTTCTGGATAATAGATTTTCTTGTAAAAATAGGATTTCCCGAAGAAAATTCAATTTTCAGAAAATAAATGGTCAACATATAATTTTTACGCTGAATTCGAAAATGATAACCTTTTTCCCTGTTTCACGAGGAATTTCCGAGAAAATAAATTTTTTCCCCTAAAAAAGAGGATTGCCCGTGGAAAACTCAGTATTCTGGAAAACTTTTTTATTATGAGGAAAAAACAAGGTCATTTCTCAATTCACCGCTGTCAAGCCTTTGAGGAGAGATGGGAGCTATATATAGTCATTTTCCTTACGTTCTAGGTACATTTGATTTTACGTCAAAATTTACTCAATTAATTGAGTTTCCCCCGGAAAACTCTCTTTTTTACAAGAAAATAGATTTTCCGGAAAATCCTGATGAAGTATAGAAAAATGAATGTAATTTTTGGTTTTAGTGTGAAGAAATCTCTCACCATGAGTTGAGCCTTGTTTGCGGACGCATACCTATGTAATAGTTTGAGTTTTAACTTTAACGCAGTCATTTACTCTTTATGAGCCTTTCCCAGACGTTTATCACCGCTAAAACGAGGGGCAACATTTTTTTTTTAAGTCGTTCGACAAGACCCGTCCCATTCAATTTTTGCTGCCGAAGCCAAATATGACCTCCGATTTATTTTAAAAATTACAGATTTTCCGGAAAATGGATTTTTCTGCAAAAGGTGTTTTTCAATGTAAAATCCTATGTACAAAAGGCAGCTCTGTCGGCACGGGTTGAAATTATTCAGACAGAAAGTCATTCTATCATGAATTTTTTTTACCTTTTAGCGCAAATATCATAGCCTCTTTGAAATTTTAAATCATGGAATGACTCTTTATCTTCCAGTGATACAACACTCGGCAAATAGGAAGATACTTCCACAGAAGAAATTGACGTTGCTAATAGACCGTAGTCTAAAACTAACAAAGCCGAACCGTTGATTCTAATTTCCAGGGCCGGATTAGCGCTCAGGGACCTGAGGTGTTGCCGGGCACGAAGAGCCCCCATAATAGCGGATTACATACTCTCAAAATTGAAAGCAGTTCACGTTTCCTTAAAAGAAATGGTTCATTTAAGGCTACGACTCCCCCTCCCGTCCTAAGCCCCCGCCGTCAGTTTAATCAAGGGCAGTTGAAATGTTAAAATACCTAGCTCTCTAATTAGGAATGCCACTGATAATATGTCATTTAAGACAGGAAGATTAACTACACATACTTCCTAAAAGAGTAAGGAGGAGACTCTTGAATTTTTCCCAAAGAACAAGAACCTGATCGCCGCGGAGCGAGGGAGGGAGGGAGGATGTGTTATTTGAATCTTGTTTCTGTTTGAATCGCGCGCGGGGACGATCTGATTTCGAATGTTTTTAGAAAAGTCTGTAGGTTTTGTTTTGGCGCCAATCAAATCCAATGTTTGTTTGGTGTGCTCAGTGGCAAGAATCCCATCCTTCCACCTTGAACTGCTGAAACCCAAGTTGATGTAAGTTAATCTTCCTTCTACTTAATTATTAGATATATTTTTTTCAGGTAACAGTTTTAGTATCATGTTACAGAGATTTGTTGCCTTGTTCTTATATAACCATGTTCAATGAGGTACCATCAACAGTAGTCTCTAGAAGTGAGGTTAGACATGCGGTCACCAAAAATTTCTTGAACTTGACACGCCGCAGATCATTTTGAAATTTTGCCTTCGTCTACTGATCATAACAAGAATGCACATTAAAGGACTCATGTGAATGGCAGGTATTCAAGATTTTTTCCTCTGTTCCATGTGCCTTCATCAGGCACATTAGACATGCTAAGAACACCTACTCGTACTGTCAACCAGTCAATTGTAAGCTTGTGAACAGCATCATAAAGAAGTCAACCAGTCTGATACTTCTACTACATATACCTTAGTTTTGTCTTGTTCAGTAGGTAAACAAAATATTTCGCTCATCTCCTTCTACAGTATATTCGTTTCTCTCATCAAAATTTCACAAAAGCATGGCTGTGTAGTGCAGAAAACATTTCAGTTTCTTCTTACCCTTAACCCCTGTTATTAACAATCAGTAACTCCCCAAGAAATTTGGAATGTTCCTGTCGCGTACCTGGATTCAGCGTAAGTTAGATGGACTGATACGTCTAAGAATTCCGACTTATGCGCACTGGCAATAGCGGAATTAGTGGGAGAGCTGAAAGTGGGTTTGAAAAGTTGGAGAGTCAATTTTGTTACACCAGACCGGACGCTTTAATATTAAACTCTAAACTCACTAAATATTACAAAAAGGCAATCTGACTAGGACTTAGATTGAGCGCAGAGAGAACAGATTGAGGCTTTCGCTAAGATGGTAGGAATGGCAGTGAAGTTTTACAAGTCTCTCCAGCCCTTACGAGGCATGGATGAGAAAATAACGGTCGACATTGCATCAGCTCACCGTTACTGATAAAGAGGACATGAAATTAACTAGATGGCTAGTCTGATTGTTTGCAAATATCGGCTTAAGGCCTTTAAATGTTGGAAATTGAGAAATGAAAAGAGAGATGGAAGAAATGAGAAGAAAAAGGTTAGAAGAAAAACTTGGGGCGTTGCATGGATGTGACAGTTCCGCTTTCTTGCGAATCAGTTTCAGCTGTCATACTAAACCAGATTACATTACCTAGGAACTAAACTCTTAACTTGTACCAGCTCTCTGTTAATTTCAGGAACACGCTGTAATCTAGCGAATGATTGTACGATTTTCTGTGTGTGTCAGCATTTTCTGTTTAAGCAATTTTTTCCCTCCCTGAGAATAAATTATCAATCTACTGTAGTGGTATTGACCATACCAACAAGTTTAAAGTAAAGAATGTGCATTTCAGTGAGGAATAGCCCTTTATAAATAGCCTTTCGGGTTTCGTACTAGGTGTGAAATCTCAATCTTGACATCATTGAAATCATTGTAGGGCAGACTGTTTTTCAGTCAAACATTAATGTGGTAGGTGATCTTAATTTTCAAGAAAGGAATTTTTAATACGTTCTAATTCCTTAATTTGAGGATATACCATGATGTCAGTGATGGAATGTCCAACTATCAAAAAAATATTTACAAGTTGCCCAGAAAATGGTCATTTATTTAGGAGATTTTGGCAGTGTCTGAAAGCATCTACGCCGTTTTAACTAGCTACTGTATATCCTTCATTCTGATTGAAAGAATGAACAACATCAAAGATGAAAGCCCACAGGCCTTGTTGATCCCTGTACCTGTGTCTTTTTAGGGTTACTCACTGATAAGATTGCTGTCGATTCCTCATCCATGGATCCTCATCAAGGAGGCTTTGAACATAAACCCTCTACACGAAGTAAGCTTGCTGCGTATCTTTTGTTGAACCTTCGGCTCCTGAGCTCTCAGTAGTCTCAATATTGATCATTTGGTGCACCAGATAGCCCACAAGACACAGCGGTGCCTTAATTGAACTCACATCACAAGTTGAATGTGCAAGAAAAAAAAAGAAATTTCCCCTAAAGAAACATTCATGGCCAACAGCCATGAATCTTCCCTCTCATATGAAAAACAATGGTCTGGAGAATGTTTCCTCCCTTTATGTTACAATAAATCTTCACTTACATCTTCTATTTCTACTTCTTAATGTATTAAAAAATGTCTTCATTTTTTTACAGCTTGCCGAACAACTTTTAAAGAAAGGAACTTGCAATTATGATGATGTCGCAATCATAGAAACACCACCTGTTCCCAACAAGAAACTTATTGAGTCAGTGGAATTTGAAGCATATGTTGAACACAGAGACAATCATCAGAATTAACAACAGTAACCATCTCTCAAAAATCATCAACGAATAGTAAGGTCTTTTCATCTAAAAAATCTGAACGGTAACTAATTCTGAGGATTTTGAATTTTGCCTTTTCTTCTTTCCTGTCGTCAGTGATGCTTCAATCAAGAGAACCTGCTTTTAAGTACATAAATTGTAGACAACTTGGGTCATTCCATGTCAATTCAACAAAAAAAATGGGAAAATGGCACCCACCGACTCGGATTTTTAATATTTTTTTACTTAATCTAAGGATCAATCTTAGGGAAAGTACACATTTTTAGCTCCATATGTCAAATACTTTTTGAGAAAAAAATTATTGAAGTTTTAACGCCTTTCGTAAAAATGCACTCTCCAGATTCAAAACAGCAGTACTTTGCCTTCGAAAAAGCCTCATAACTTTTTTAATTTTAAAAGATTTTAAGATGGAATTGGGCACACTGGTGCATGATAGTATGTATTTGAAGGGAACAGCAAGGGAATAGCCGTTTTTTTGCCCTGATTTTTGGCTCTGATGCCTTGATCCCTTAAAATGAGCCTAACTATGTGAGCTAACAACACATTCTCATTTTTCTTTTTTTTTTGGTAAAAATCATCGTTAGGGTGTGCTCTAACAGTATCTGAAATTAAAGATCCTGGGTATTTCACCTTTTCTCTGTCAAATCGCCCTTCATAGCAAAAAATGCATGAAAAAGCTAAAAAAAGCAAGTTTTTGCGGCTGTTTCCCACCAAATCCTGTAGAAGCTTAGCATCTCATCCATAATTCACCTAAATTCTTTCTGTTTCCCTTAATTTTGCTCTAGGAATCCTTGGCTTTTCTTATCATCCGAACTTAATCACTCATCGTAGCAAACACGGCACGAAAAAGTAGAAAAAACCCTGTTTTTGTGGTACATCTCCACTAACCTTTTATTGTGTGCGTACCGCCAACATTTTTCTCAACAGGTCTTGATTGGTGTGAAGTTTAACAGTGTCTACAGGTCTCAAGCCCTTCTCCAATGATTTGTTGTACACTCTGAGCGGAACTCAAACAGTTGGGATTGGCTTTAAGATGTAATCTATTAGAAAAACAATGGTCTGGAGAATGTTTCCTCCCTTTATGTTACAATAAATCTTCACCTACATCTTCTATTTCTACTTCTTAATGTATTAAAAAATGTCTTCATTTTTTTACAGCTTGCCGAACAACTTTGAAAGAAAGGAACTTGCAATTATGATGATGTCGCAATCATAGAAACACCACCTGTTCCCAACAAAAATCTTATTGAGTCAGTGGAATTTGAAGCATATGTTGAACACAGAGACAATCATCAGAATTAACAACAGTAACCATCTCTCAAAAAGCATCAACGAATAGTAAGGTGTTTTCATCTAAAAAATCTGAACGGTAACTAATTCTGAGGATTTTGAATTTTGCCTTTTCTTCTTTCCTGTCGTCAGTGATGCTTCAATCAAGAGAACCTGCTTTTAAGTACATAAATTGTAGACAACTTGGGTCATTCCATGTCAATTCAACAAAAAAAATGGGAAAATGGCACCCACCGACTCGGATTTTTAATATTTTTTTACTTAATCTAAGGATCAATCTTAGGGAAAGTACACATTTTTAGCTCCATATGTCAAATACTTTTTGAGAAAACAATTATTGAAGTTTTAGCGCCTTTCGTAAGAATGCACTCTCCATATTTCAAAAAAAGCAGTACTATGCCTTCGAAAAAGTCTCATAATTTTTTTAGTTTTAAAGACTTTAAGCTGGAATTTGGCCCACTGGTGCATGTTAGTATGTATTTGAAGGGGAAAATGTCCACTTGAACCTAACATACCCTGGAGCACAAAACAAGTTGAATATAGCCCTTTTTTGCCCTGATTTTTGGCTGTAGTACCTTTATCCCTTAAAATGAGCATAACTATGTGAGCTAACAACATATTTTAATTTATTTTTTTTTTTTTTTTTTTTTTTTTTTTTGGTAAAAATCATCGTTAGGATGGGCTCTAACAGTATCTGAAATGAAAATCCGGGGTATTTCACCTTTTCTGTCAAATCGCCCTTTACAGCAAAAAATGCATGAAAAAGCTAAAAAGAAAAAAAACAAGTTTTTGTGGCTGTTTCCCAGCAAATTCTTTAGAAGCTTCTACAGGTCTCAAGCCCTTCTCCAATGATTAGTGCAAGTTGTACACTCATAGCGGATCTCTAACAGTTGGGATTGGCTTTAAGATGTAATCTATTTGAAACTAATACAATGGCACTCTGTAAGGTTAAAATACCATTAAGACATGACTGTGGATTGTTATCAGGCACATATTTTGAAAGACTCTAAGCTACACTGAAGGGTCTTCAGAGACCATTGACAAACATTTTCTGAAATCTGCTGTATTAAAGATCAAATTTAACAGAAAGGGATCGAGTCTCATCAAAATGGAACGCAGAAAGTGAGATTGAAGTCCTAATTTCTCTGTAAGACGTTAAGTCACGGGTAAAGTTCAACGCGTACTTTCACATTCAGAGTCTTTTTTCTGAATTTTGAATTTTTGTTTGGAGATATTATGTGGCTAGCTGTGCTCAGGACCACTCCTAATTTATGTCTCCTAAAATGTGACTCGGTTCCTATCGGTTCAATTCAGGTGATCGTTGATATTTTTTTATCTTGTAGGGTTGAAAGTATACAGAAATTTTAGGAAATTTTGGAAATTTACTTATTGTGTAAGGCAGGCAGTGTAATGACCATGACCAGTTTAATTTTTGTCAGTTTCACTCAAAAGCAATTACAGTTTAGTTTCCCTAGTGTATCACTTTACTTGCATTATACTTTTTTCCTTGTTTTATTGAATTATGCAAATAAAGATAAATATATGTGATGAACTTGCATGAAAAAATGGCTCTTCAGTAAATTTCCAAAATTTCCTAAAATTTCTGTATACTTTCAACCCTACAAGATAAAAAAATATCAACGATCACCTGAATTGAACCGATAGGAACCGAGTCACATTTTAGGAAACATAAATTAGGAGTGGTCCTGAGCACAGCTAGCCACATAATATCTCCAAACAAAAATTCAAAATTCAGAAAAAAGACTCTGAATGTGAAAGTACGCGTTGAACTTTACCCGTGACTTAAGGTCTTACAGAGAAATTAGGACTTCAATCTCACTTTCTGCGTTCCATTTTGATGAGACTCGATCCCTTTCTGTTAAATTTGATGATTAATACAGGAAATTTCAGAAAATGTTTGTCAATGGTCTCCGAAGACCCTTCAGTATAGCTTAGTCTTTCAAAATATATGCCTGATAACAATCCACAGTCATGTGTTAATGATATTTTAGCCCTATAGAGTGCCATTGTATTAGTTTCTAATAGATTACATCTTAAAGCCAATCCCAACTGTTTGAGTTCCGCTCAGAGTGTACAACAAATCATTGGAGAAGGGCTTGAGACCTGTAGACACTGTTAAACTTCACACCAATCAAGACCTGTTGAGAAAAATGTTGGCGGTACGCACACAATAAAAGGTTAGTGGAGATGTACCACAAAAACAGGGTTTTTTCTACTTTTTCGTGCCGTGTTTGCTACGATGAGTGATTAAGTTCGGATGATAAGAAAAGCCAAGGATTCCTAGAGCAAAATTAAGGGAAACAGAAAGAATTTAGGTGAATTATGGATGAGATGCTAAGCTTCTACAGGATTTGGTGGGAAACAGCCGCAAAAACTTGCTTTTTTTAGCTTTTTCATGCATTTTTTGCTATGAAGGGCGATTTGACAGAGAAAAGGTGAAATACCCAGGATCTTTAATTTCAGATACTGTTAGAGCACACCCTAACGATGATTTTTACCAAAAAAAAAAGAAAAATGAGAATGTGTTGTTAGCTCACATAGTTAGGCTCATTTTAAGGGATCAAGGCATCAGAGCCAAAAATCAGGGCAAAAAAACGGCTATTCCCTTGCTGTTCCCTTCAAATACATACTATCATGCACCAGTGTGCCCAATTCCATCTTAAAATCTTTTAAAATTAAAAAAGTTATGAGGCTTTTTCGAAGGCAAAGTACTGCTGTTTTGAATCTGGAGAGTGCATTTTTACGAAAGGCGTTAAAACTTCAACAATCGTTTTCTCAATAAGTATTCAACATATGGAGCTAAAAATTTGTACTTTCTCTTAGATTGATCTATAGATTAAGTAAAAAAAATATTAAAAAAATCCGAGTCGGTGGGTGCCCTGGCCCGGTTGAATTGACATGGAATGACCCACTTGTCTTTGAACAACGCGGATTTACTGATGAATATCTACAGTTTCAACTAATCAGGAAAAGCAGGAGGCACTTGCTTATGATCAGAGAGGACCCTGTACTGTAGCATCGCCTCCAAGAGATTGAACTCCCTGCTCATTTATGTTATATTTCCTCTTCATCTCCGAGGTGTTCGACTCAATGCCCACTTAAGAAAATAGAATTTTCAAGTTGAGCATAGAGTTGGAAAACATGGGAAATTTTATATCTTGAAATTAAACATAACATCTGTGGTATCGAACTCATGCTTACATGCTTCTCCGGCAATATTTTGTAGAAGGAGTTTACAATGTCCCTCAAAAGTGCAATATTGAGCTAAAATTTAGATTTTTAAGCGGGAAAAGTGATTTGAAAGGTGTGTTGCCATATTTAGGAACACAAATTGGCTGTTGCATTAAGTACAATGTTTATCTCATCGGATAGAACCAGGAGTTTGAAAAATATCATGAAATTTTTTGCTGAAATCTACTTGAGGAAACTGTTTTTGGTAAGTTGTATGTATTTATAAGAAAAACTGTATATCTGAGGAAAACCAGGGATTTGGAGGCATGTTGCACTAATTCCTCAGCCCTCTAAATACTTAATTTAACTTACAAGGGGAACTTTCCAAGCTGCCGCCTCCGATCGGGCTGAAAAAATTCGTACGAACTCTTTGGATGACTTTATTGGACCCGTATTTTTTTGTTTTTTCCAATGCCCCCTGGAAACACCCCAAAAAAATTCCGAAAAGTCTTGCTTTGAGCGCTCGAGTGTATATACGCAGTTTAGCCATCCTCATCTCAAATCAGGCGGCGGCTCTGCAGTAGCGCGCTCGCCTCGAGTGCCAGCTGTCCGGGCTCAATTCCCGGATTCTGCCACTAATTTTTATGACCGAATTTTATATTCTCACACATTTTCACATCGAATCCCATTTAATACATTGGAACTTAAAACATCTATCAATTTACAACCATCACCAAACACAAATTAATTAACGATCAATGACTTCCTCAATTAGAAGTATAGATGCTTCTTTTATTTTTATTTATTTATTTGGGGGGGGGGTCACGCCCACGATTATTTCGCCAATCATTTTTCTTTCACACTATAGCCAACGACCCGCCCCGCCCCCTCACACCAACAAATTTTTCATTATTATTTTTTGGATAATGACGGGAAAAATCATGATGCATACGGGTGATCAGGAGAAAATTGTTAGTGTGAGGGGGCGGGGCGGGTCGTTGCCTATAATGTGAAAGAACAGTGATTGGCGAGATAATCGTGCGCCTGACCCCCCCCCCCCCCAGAGATATAGATGCAAGAGAACAGTGATTGGCGAGATAATCGTACAAATAAATAAATATAAAAGTAAAAAAAGCATCTATACTTCTAATTGAAGAAGTCATTGATCGTTGATTAATTTGTGTTTGGTGATGGTTGTAAATTAATAGATCTTTTAAGTTCCAATGTATCAAATGGGATTCGATGTGAAAATGTGTGAGAATATAAAATTCGGTCATAAAAATTAGTGGCAGAATCCGGGAATTGAGCCCGGACAGCTGGCACTCGAGGCGAGCGCGCTACTGCAGAGCCGCCGCCTGATTTGAGATGAGGATGGCTAAACTGCGTATATACACTCGAGCGCTCAAAGCAAGACTTTTCGGAATTTTTTTGGGGTGTTTCCAGGGGGCATTGGAAAAAACAAAAAAATACGGGTCCAATAAAGTCATCCAAAGAGTTCGTACGAATTTTTTCATCCCGGTCGGAGGCGGCAGCTTGGGAAGTTCCCCTTGTTAATTAAACTTAAAGAAAGTCCCCAAAGTTTCAGAAACTTCTAGGGCTGCTCTATTTCCATGTAAAAGCTCAATAATTGCCAAATTTCATCTTTTCTATCATCTTTCATTTCCTAATTTCAGTTATGGCTTAAGCTGTGTTGGTTATGTTAAGAACAAGATTTGGCAGTGCGGCCATGTTCATGCCAGAGGTGGAAAAGGGAAGTTAAAAACCATTTAAATGCAATGATGGAATTCGGTGAAAATTGTTGTGCTTTAATTTTTAAGATGTTGCACATTTTTGCTATTCCTGTAATTGTGAAATCACCCAAGTATATTTTTATGAAATTCACGTTTCTGTACCATAAAAAATTACGATTACAAAACACGTTATTCCAACAAGAGAAAAACTTACAAGTCATTGCATTCCATGATCCCTAAAAAAATGGAAGACTATGTGATGAGCAAGGGAACTTAGTACATGTGAGCATGAAGTTCAATCTCTCAGAGGCGTTGCTACATAATCGATATCTATGATCAAAGTGAGAAACTACGTATCTCCAATTGGGAAGTTGCAGACTTCTCATCATACTTTATTTTTTCTTTGTACATCTAGTCAACATAAATTCTTGAAAACCCCTTTCTTGCCAATATCATAATCTGAAAAATTTCAAGCTATGAAGTTGGCTCGTTTCTCTTCAAACATATGTGAAATAGAAAGCAGACATATTGAAACACCGTAATGGAGATAGTGGTTTCACGCTTTGGCTATCGACATGCTGAAAATTGTAACTAGGTAATGAGAACTACAGCAGAAGTTAAAATTTTTTTCTACAAGGAATATCCCAACCAAAAATGGCCAAACGTCTAGTAATTTTTAAGTCTGGAATTGTTGGAACTTGAAAGCTGTAAAACTAAATAAGAGCTCCTTTTTGAACTACAGAAAATTCATCCAAAGCCCAGACAATGAGTGATGTGGCCCAATTGAATTGGCCTGGAATGACCCTGATTTCAATATTTTTATGGCCATTTTTTTCAGGGCAGAGAAAGATAGAAAGATTGTATGTACCTCTTGTCATTCGTCAAGCATTATGTAAATGAATCCATTACAAAATCTATCCATTTCAAATAGAAGTCTTGCCCATTTAGAGATTCATAATTTCTTTAAAGAAAAAAAACTAAAATAAAATTTTCATTACAGATGAAGCCGGAGAAGAAAGCAAGGCTGTCCAACCTTATGAACAAATTTTCAGAAATTATAAACGATTCGGATGATTCTGTCTCCTTCTCAGACGATGATGGCAGTTCCTTATTGGAGACATGTCCTGCAAAGAAGGAGGTCAGCAAAAAAACGAAAATGCTATTTCAGAAGTATGTCAAGACTCCCGATCAACCACGTGGAAAAAGAAAAATCAAAAGTAAGTCGACGAAGACAGAGCAGTCGGCAACAGTGTATACTGTCGTTCTGCTTGAAGACATCAACCGACAAACACCTCTGAGTGGGAAGGAGTATAGTGAACATGCTGAAAAACTGTTGATAAAAGAACCTATTACAATATGCAAAACCCTAACAGCTGAGGCTCTGCGCACCAAGCTGCAACAACTATTCATCAACCATCTTCAGTCGGTCGAATTTGATATTTTGAAGAAAATTGGAGATAAGCTGCTGCCACCCACTTTACCAACAGGAGAAAAATTAGATGGAACGAATTTTGCTTTCATCTTCCACCGAAAGACTGTCTTCCTACGACCACATACTCCTCTCTGCCTCCCTGCAGACACTTTTTCTGGCCCATCAACTTCAACCCTCATCACCAGCAGTAGTAACACTCCCTCCACAGCAGGTGAGGTTTCAAAAAAGGAAGAAATTTCATCAGCACCAGTCTTCACAATAGTTTTGCTAGAAGACAGTTCCCGGGACTCTCCGCTCAGCGCTAAAGAGTATAGCAACCATGGGATACTGCAATTGATCAAAGAGCCAGTGCCGCTTTCCAGGGACTTGTCTGAAGAACAGTTATATAATAAGCTGAGAAATCTGTTTGAATCACAGCTGAAAACAACAAATTTTACGATATGCAAGAAAATTGGTGCTAAGATCTTGCCTCCATCCTTACCAGCTGGAATGAAACTAAACGGGGACAGCTTCTCACGCCTTTTTTATAAAAAGACAGTGTATTTAAGACCCCATAAGTCACTTGCCCAGATAGAGTCCAATGGTGACGATGATTGTGAAATTGTAGAAAGTAACAACGACAATATTGCAGAAGAGGATGATTGTGTAGTAATAGAGGATGACAACAATGTTGTGCAACAGGAGAATGAATCTCAAATTAACAGAAACGATGATGATGATGATGATAATGAAGAATATTTGCAGAACATTCTCCTCGAGAGTGGTGACACATTTGCAGTACAATCAATCGATCGTGGACTTTCTGACTGCATCAACGTTAACCAATACCCCGCTGCCCAACAATATAACACAGAAACAGTCATTGAAAATGGAGAAGAAAAATTTAGAAATGCCGTCAATACTCTGAGAACGTCGATCAATGTAGGTCAAAACAAAGCCATTAAGATAATGAGAGGCCGGGTTAAAAGGTCATTGTTTGAGGCGATCAAAAAATTAGAGTTCTCCCCGTCTAATGGAATCTTTTTCAAAATTCTAGACAAATTTGGAGTGGACGAAGAAGCCATTGACTCAGGGGGGGTAAGCAGAGAAGTATTTACCCTTGCCTTTGATGAGATACGCACATCACCCATGTTTGAAGGACCAGAGTTCGAAAGGAACTTGGCGCTTGATAACAACAGCAAGCGGGAAAGAGACTACTATTATTTGGGAGTCGTAATCGCAATGGCAATAGCTCACAACTTGCCATTGCCTAGATTTTTTTCTTCAGAATTATACTCTTTCATACTCTCTGGCAAATATGAAAGGGAACTTAAGATAGAATCTGTCATGGACTTAAACCTGAAGAATCAAATCGTGAAAGTGGACGATTGCAAGGATTTGGCTACCCTTCAAGATCTCGTGTATGAATTCAACCTTCCTGGGGTTTCCTCAGTCAAATCTTTTAATGAAAAGAGAATGGTGGTCAGAGGTAATATACATTGCATTATACTAGTAATTCCTGAAAGTCAAAGGGTTGTTTTTTAATTGGAACAGGAAGTAATTTTTTCTTGTAGTTGAAAAAAAAAATTCCTTTGGTTAATGATCTACCCATGAATAGGTTGGGGGAGGGGGGATATGAACCCAAGTATAGTACCCACAGAATTAATCCAAGTTTCCCGCTACTGTTTAATAATGTGTAGCTGTAGTGTATGCCCTTTAAACAATGAATGCAAGCAAATATTAAGTTGATGAAGTAATCAATGAAAGATATTTTCTTAAAAAATTATTTGTAGAATAATGGTAGATCGTCCGAGGGTAATGAACTAGCCTTACAAGGCGAATCGTCATAGCTTGCTCTAAAGAACTTGTTTTGGTCTCTATTTTTTTTTTTTCAACCTGCAAATCTCTTGAAATAAAGTGGAATCCATGCTGATCATTCTTCCCCATCACAATTTTAGGTATTATGTATGAAAATATTTTTACTTTGACATACTGGCTAAACTTTTGATCAGTTCTAAATATTAATTAGAAATGGGCTTTAATTGCTCATTACCTGGCCGGTAAAGGGGTCGGCTGTACTGTTACTACATCATTGTGAGGAAATATTTTTTGGAACATTGCCTTAGAAATAGTGGGGCAACATCAGACTAGTGTAACCAAGCAGTATTAATGAGAATTATAGCTGGCAGTCTGGTAATGAACATTGCTAAAATTCATTGCAGCAATGTGTCAAAATAATGTTGCCTGAGAACATTGCTACAAGGTGGCATTAAAAAATGTTAGCGCAAAGTTTTATTAACCTTGAACGGCAACATTAATTCCAAATCGGGAATGTTACAGCAACGTCTTTTTTCCCGGGGGGAGGGGGAGGTATGAATATGTCTTTCAATCAGTCTTAAGGTACTGAAAATAGAAACATTGTTGCTAATGATCTTTCTTCCCTTGGTTTTGCAGATGCTTTAAATTCAATATTGAATGTTCCTATGGAAGGAGTTTTTTCTCAATTTTTGGATGGTCTTGCCTCTTTGGGAGTTCTGGATCTCATAAGAAAGGAGCCAGTAGTATTTAGAAGTGCTTTTTTACGTTCGAAAGTACCATTAACAGCATCTGTTTTCACCACTCAGTTCAAAATCAACTGGTCTCAGGATGTTTTCAAGAAAGAGGCAGAGGAAGAGATCTTCATTAAATTTATCAACTTTTTGGACGATGTTGAAGGTTTGTAAATATGTTTTTGTTTTAATCAACACATTTTTGTAAAAGATTTGGCAATAACCTAGAAACAGAATACAGGGTGTTCCTAAAGTCGCACCNCCCCCCCCCCCCCCCCCCCCTCTAAATTTTGAAATGTTCAAGTTAAATAAACAAAACTTTGGGAATGTTTCTGTATCAAAGTTAGGGAAACTTGGCTCATCTTGCAGGAAAATCGTTTGACTTCTAAACTGACTTATTTGGGGGGTCCGAACCACCCGTAAAATTAATTTGAAGTGATTCCTGTGATTCACTCAAAAGTGCCTAAATTTGGTAAATTTTACCATTCTAATTTTTTTGTCTACGATAATTTGAACTGGAGTAATGATTTCTTGAAAATAGGTCAAAGGGTCTGTTGGAGGCAAGAGATACAGGGAACTGAATACACTTTCTAAGAGTAAAACCGCTCAAAAATCGCAGTGGGCACATCATGTAAGTCTGAAATCAACTCCTTAGCAAGCAATCTGCGTAGTTTGTAAAATGCTTTTTCAACCTTACCAAGTATGTGGGCAGTTTTTCCTGGTGGCCGGCAGTCAGGTTTTCTCGGAGAGAAACCTAACCTATGTAGACAAACGATCTGACGAACTGTTATAAACTCTCCTTGCGCAAGATTTCCATTGATTCAAAGTAGGGCTGTGCGACCCTGGTTTTTTGGGTCCGAGCCGAGTTCAAGTATTATTTCAGTATTTCGAGCTGAGTTCGAGCTTTGAAAGTAACCCTCAAGCTGAGTCAAGTTCGAGTAATTTTGAGTTTTAACATGTGATCTTACTATCAAAAAATGATGGCAAAACTAAAAATAGTATTAGTATGCTTGAAGTATTTGGGATTTGAGCTCTTTCGGCGTTTTCAGCTCAAAAAAGTTCGAAATACGTGAAAAAACTCGTGAAATTGGCACTCGAGAGTACTCGCTCCAACTTGACCTAACTTTCGAGCGGAGTGGAGTACTCGATACTCGGCTTGACTCTACTCGAAATTTGAGTGCTCGCTCAAGCCCTAATTCAAAGCTTTTGTTTTTACAAATTAAGGAAAGAAAGAGGAAACAAATGTCAAAAAACGATTGAAATCATACAAGAGAAAAAGTTAGTGAAATTATTTGTTCACTGAGGCTAATTGTTTTTACTCCTCTTTCTTTGCAAACCTGGTCACCTTACCTGAGAAAAACAGCCTGCAGACGCTGAAAACTTAAAAAGCGTTTTACTAACTATACAAATTGTGTGCTAAGGAATGGATTTTAGCCTTTTTTGACGTGCCCAACGTTATTTTTGTGCAGATTTTCACGTAAAGAGTAAATTTATGTGACTGTATTTCTTGTATAAAACAGACTCATTTAACCTTTGATCTTCGATACGGGAGCGGGACTTTTGGAACATACGCTATAATAATAAAAAGTAACGGAAATTGGAAACTTGAAAATGTTAGATTATTTGAAGGAAAGAACATAGCTAAAAAGGAAGGTGTAACTTGCAGGACAGGCAAAAATATTACAAGGAAAGCTACAGAGGCAAAATAAGCACAGGTTTACCACAATGGAGTAAAATAGGGATAATCAGGAAAAACTGGGAAAGTCGGGGAATAAAAAAAATATCTTTAAGTCAAAGAAAAATTGGTGAAGAGCTGATAAGTGTCTTTGTTATTTTGGATGATGGTGCTCTATGGACCAACACCTTTGAACAAACCACTTACTTTTCCTAATCAACAATAAAGGCTAGAATTTTTCCTAAAATTGGTTCTGAGACAGGGACTTCCTTTTTTTCTAAGGCAACAACCCTAAGAGTAGTGCTATGAAAATAGTATCAAATAGCTTGTCTATGTTGCTTGGTGGTCGGGGCATGAGCTCCATACTGCAGCTTGCTAACGCATCAAAGCAAATCTTACTAACGGGGATCAATACAAACAGAGGCTTTTTTAAATTTTTCAACTCTGAATTAAATTTTTTTGAAATTATATTAATTTTGTTGGCACAGGCTAAAATGTCGATTTTTCTTTCATACTTTTTGCTGTTTTACAAGAAATCATGGAATTGAAAGAATTCGGAAGCTCTTTCTAAGGTTCAAGAATGTTTCCACTATCCTTGCTAATAGTATATTTTATTTTAAATTGAAGTATATTTTATGAATGTCTTAAGTAAATTATGTACCAAATACTAATTAAAAGTTTGGTATTTTGATATAACCTATATCGAAGAAAATTGGATGAGAGATGATAAGCCTTCTATAGAACAAACGTTTGTTAGATGAATGATTCTTTTGTTCTAACTATCAGCAGATTGAAAACCTGAAATGGATGGTAAAGAATCAGGCAAGCGAAAAGCATTGAGGACTAAAGAGTTTTTCTACGAAAGACTTTAAAACAGTTCAATTTTTATAAAGGGTCTTGAATCTTCACCTTCCTCGCACTAACATCATCACAAAACGGCATTAATAAAGAATTATGCTTGTGGAACTCAATATAAGCCCTTTTTTATATTATTTGCAGGTGGATTCTCTGAGATAGTGATGGAAGATATACTCCAGTTTGTTACAGGGTCCAAGCACCTACCACCAGGTGGATTTGAACCAAGGCCGGTTTTAACTTTCTACCACAACGAAACTGGATGGAGACCAATGCCATGCGCAAATGTTTGTGGCTACATACTCAAGTTGCCCGTATACAGCTATACAGCTGAAGAGTTTAGACAGGTCTTTGAAGAGGCTGTCAAAACAGAATGTTTTGGTCGAGCTTAGATTCATTCTGAATGCGAATTTAACATTGAAATGACTCATTGCATCAAAACAAGTCTTACAACAAGCTTTTAGTTATTCCATTTTGGTGGAACTCACATTTGAGAAAGTCCTTTTCCCCCCTCCATTGATTTTTTTTTTTTTTTTTTTTTTTTTTTTTTTGCATGTGTGAACATTGTGTTTTGACAGCATCTTCAAACACTGTCCGAAATTTGAAGAGTCGTGAATGACGGAAAAATAGGGACTCTGGAAACTTAAATCATCTTTTTTACTTTAGTGCAGGTGGAGCAATGAAACGCACTGAAACAAAAATTGCCGACTGAAACATTCCGGAACCTCTCTTTTTCTGTTCTTCACACATTGGACGAATTTTTACTAAAGAATCTTCGCAGGAGTCGAAGAATGTCTGTTTTTCTAAAATAATTTGCTTGGAAACAGTATAAAACTGAGTTTTATTTAATAAAACTTGAAATGGCTGTTTCATTTTGTGCTGATGATTGGTGCATTTTAGTGTTAAATTTAGGATTAGCACGATGGAAAATTGATCCATAAAGTAGCATTCCCCATTATGTTATGGAGACCTATCCAACAGATTATAATTTTTTGAGTACATGGACTAAACTGTCAAAATTTCAAGGCCAAGTAGGCCTTTATGGTTTTTTGTGTTGATGTTTTTGTGGAAGGAGGTACAGAAATGAGTGAAAGTATGTACCCATTTTCTGCAATACTTTTTAATAGTACCTTAATCAAGTTGTTCAAATACCTACCTATTCGGTTATGATGTACTCTTCCCTTATTGATATTTTTAGAACAGGTGCGGTACTTTTATTAGGAAATGTAAGTAATAGAGTAATAATTTGATGATCTTGTGAAGCTACGGGCACATAGTAGCTAAACTTTTTTGTTTTTCTTCAGAATTGAAGGACTATTTTTCCACTTTAACTCTCTTGATGTGTGTATTGTCTCAAAGTGAGAAAAGAAAAGTGAATGTACAATTTTTTTTTCTTTACCAGAAATTATATCTCAATTATTCTAAGGCATGACGACGGGTAGTAGCTGTTGACTAAATAGTGAAATGTATTATGATGTCTTATTTTTTTATATATATGTTTGAAAAACTTGATGAATCCGCTGTAGAGCAGCTGTTCCTTTCGACTGTTTTCGCAAGAGACTTTCAGTAGGTTTATTTATAGTAAAGCATTCTTAAATGACTGTAAGTCCTAACAAGTTCTTAATCGGTCGGTGAAGTATATGAGATATTTGATACGGGTAGTTACAATGTTTCCTTCCATAAAATTTTTATTATAGGTATAATCGTTCTCTCTAAAGATGTGGTACGTTCATGTTTCTTTTCCATGTTAGTTTTCGAGTTCAGCTCTCATATATTTTTACCCAATTCTTTTTGAACTTTTTAAATTTGTAGTTGGAAAGTAAAAATGGTTGCTGGATATTTTATGACTGAAGAATAGTAGACGTATGAAATCAATTAACTATTTGAGTTACGTGATTTCTTCTCCTGACATCTGAACCATTCGTACTAACTTTTTTTTTAATAAGCTGACATTCTTGGTTGTAAGTGCCATTATGTATTTATATATTTTCCTATGTTTGATTTATTTTAATTTTTCCTCTTGGTTTTTTTGCAAAGCAAATTCCACCGAATATACATTGTCAAATGAGTTGTTAACTCGGTTTTTTATTCAAATTTTTTTGTAAAGGAACCGTCAAAATTTTTCAGCACTGTTGATAGACTTTCAGTCCAAACATGTACTTAGTTGCTGGGGAAACTTGATCATTTAACTGCAAAATGCTAGACTGACGTAATTTATGTATAATGTTATCTGATTTTTTATGTTTCACAGTATTATTTCATTCTTTGATGGGCAGAAGAAACCCTCGAAACGCCTTAACTTTACAATTTGTGAGTTAAGATAATCCGGTTTGGACTGTCATTCCAATCATGGAGGGGGAAAACTTTTTGGGGCATCACGATGCCCGGGGGCCAAGAAGGGGGCACCTTCCCCGGTCCCTTGAGGGGTCGGGATCCCACAAAAGGTTTTCACCCTCGATGATTAGAACAACAGTCAAAGCCAGATGATTTTTTCTTTGACAATTCCGGTATGGTCTAGTTGTACCCTGAAGACTTATTACTCCTCATCCGCCATTCTAATGTATTATTTTTAGTCAATGTGTTAAGTGAGGTAGTTACGTGGGTTGTCAAATCAATTTTATGAGACATAATGTTGATGTTTCCTTATCAGAGAAATACTGAGAACTTGTACAAAGACAAGTGGTATGTAGTTGTCAAGCAACTGCACATAAAATTTAGTGGAAAATGGCATCGGCCACCACCCTACATACAGCTGAGTGGTGTCATCTGTATTTCAGTGATGGATGAATTAATTTTCCGCAAACTTATATCTTAAGTTGTTTATTATCTACGGTGCACATGAATTTGTATTTTTTGTCTCTTTATTTTCCTCATAAGCCAAATCAAAAGTCATTCTCCAGAAAAAAAAAAAGAAAAAAAAAATTTGTGACTCGCGTAATTGACCTATGTTTTATAAGCCTAAGTCCTAAAGTGGAAGACTATGATACAACAGCCCCATATAAATTTTACCATTGATATTATTTTCCAAAATTATGATGTTGTAAGATTCTCATTTTGTTAAAGTATTTACTTTTTGTTTTAGTTTCTATTGTGTTTTCATCTCCAATTTAATGTATTGTTTTGTGTCCAAGTCAAAAAGTTCAGTTAGTCGATGAACAAGTCTACTAACTGATGATTGGGGGGGGGGGGGGTTTCCATGGATTAATTTTTTTTTGTATTTTACTGCGGTTTTCAGTTCCCTAAGTAAACTTTCATTCACATTCTTGTTCAATGTTCTCTAGTTTTAGTGATTATCTCTTATTTCTTTTTTTGTTTCTTTAAAGCCCATTTCCTTATTTTATTAATGTTTCCCAAAATGTTAGAATGGTTTCCAAATTCTATTTCATGCTTATTAAATTTGATTTTCTCAAAGACTTAAATTGTTGTTACTCTATACATTGTCCCAAATTTTTTTGGGAAGATCTCATTGCTTCAGCTAGGAGAGGTCAGACAGCTTTTTTGGGTTTATTTATTCTTCAAATCACCAGAGGCAAACAAGCATTATTCAAATAACAGGGTGTCTACAGGTCCTCTAATCATATAAAGTCATAAAATATTGTCATATTCATTTCGGCCTTATAATGGGCCACTAGGCAAGGTCTGAAGTAGGAAAGGAAATCGTGTGTTTTCTCTTCAAAATTTTACGCAGAAAACAACTCACAAAACAGGAACTTTGACAATCAACTCGTAAATGAGATTTTAACAAGTAATGTAAACACAGAACAATTGGAAGTTCATGTTTACGAATGACATCATTTGTTTTTTGCCATTTAACTAATGTTAATTGTAAACACTTATATCTTGTTAAGGAATTGATTTACACGCCTTTTGTCTTGTGATTCATTTCTCATGAAATGAAATTTTGGCCCAATTCGTACCATGTCTAGAGGTCCACTACATCAAAGTTGTATAGAATCGCTGCATTTTCCTATCATCACTTAATGTTTGGCTCATAATTGTCAGTTACATGGCAAATATGCGAGATTGTGATACGGTTGCAAATTTTTATTTTTCGGAATCATTACCTACTTCCATTCAGCATTGCTCTAATAATAAGATGTTTTCCTCGTAGGCATTCATGTAGGATGAAAGCTTTTTCATTAGCCTTGTAGTCGTACTTCTTCGCCAAAATTGGTCATTTATACACATACAAGTGGTATATTTTGGTTTCTGGATTTCTGTAGATACCCTGAAAAAGCCGTGAAGTGTATTAATTGATATGAACTTTTCGGTTTTTGCTGTTTTTAAATTTTGGCACCTGCAGAATATTCTTTTTTCTACTTTTCTATACGAAATGAAAAATATTAAGCTTTGGAAGTCATCAATGTAAGTAACGAGTGACTTAGAGGTTGCTGTACAACAAAATACAAATTTCTCAAAATTCAAGCGGGAAGTTATCAAGAATTGACGTGGTTGGCGCTGAAAGGCGATAAGAGGATTAGGAAGGCTATTCCTAAGATTAGGTAACCTCTACCTTGTTGACAGTGGCACAAGTGGACGTTATGCCTGAAAGTTTATTGAGGAAAATTCCCGAAAACGTGCAGCCCTAATTTATTAGGGGACAACTTGCACTTCAATGGCTGTCCTAATGGATGACGGGGAAGGAGCTCCAAGTTCTTAATTGAGGCGTTGGATGCAGAAAAGGAATTTCTCGGTTCTAATGTTTCAGAAACTCCACTTCTAATTTAAGTTTCAGAGAGTTATGTTTGTGATTTACGTTCTATTGGATGAATTTTCTGAAATTTTCCGTTTTCAGCATTGCAAAATCATAACGGATATTCAGTAAAATTTTTAACGGATTCCATATCAGGTATATTTGCTTTAGTCATAATGCATGAAATATTAGGGGAAATTTTGGGGCATCGCAACCAAGAAATGCCCCTGTTGCATCCAGCGCTTCTTTTACAGCCTTGATGGATCCAAGGGAAATTTTCCCTCCAGGAAGAAAGGTGATTTGCCCTAATAGGTATGTCAGGGAGACTCCTTAAGGATGAAAGAATCCATGATAAATGGTGCTTGATTGTTGAGAAGGGGTTTTTTGCTAAAAAATCACAGAGGTTGTCTGAAATAACGTTGATCAACATTCAAGAATAAATTACATTTTATTTTCTAAAGTAAGATATTGGTTAGATACATGTATGTACCTATGTTAAGCAGATACAGGGTGTTCCAAAAGTCCAGCAACCCCCCCCCCCCCCCCCTTTGAACGGTTCGAGATAGAAAAATGAATCTTTGGGAATGTTCCTATCTCAAAGGGGACCATCTTTGGGGGGGGGGGCAATATTTTGGTTCTCCTCAGGGGGGGGGCGCGGGGGCCCCCAACTTTTTTTTTCAAATGGCAACCCCTATGTTG